ATGTAGCTGTGAAATTTTCCTTTTTGTTAGCTATCAGGTTAGTACACAGAGGCTCATTTCCACCTGTTCAGAATATTTTGAGTTAGAAGGCACATTGTCAGAAGAGGAATTATATTTCATATTGAAAATGTGCATACATTATCAGAATGCTGTAAATCTCAATAAGCCTGTTACTGTGTAGTTGTCTCTATGATAAGTTAGAAAAATTGGGTTTACATTCTAAATTTGAAAATTCAATTTTTATTTTAGATTGCAAATTTCAAAAAGTCATTTTTCTTTTTACTTGCACTCAAATTTCTTACATCTTTGTTAAAATTTTTCATATTTCATGTGCAATTGAAGTTTGTGTATGACTGAAGATTTGGTAATGTTAAATATAGAACTGCAGTAATTTAAACAACTCTTCAGAAAATGAAGACCTGAAAATTAATTATTGTTTTTGTGATTTGACAACTTTAATGTCTTCTAATTTGTTTTGCATTTCTCAGGGATTGTGTTTAAAACCAAACAGCCTTCAATAATAATAGGCTTTTGCAGTCATTTATGAGATTTCATTTTCTTTGTTTCCTACATGAAGTACTGGATTTTTTCCCCAGTATTTTAGTACCAAATCTGCCAGTCTAACTTATTCTTTGTATTTCCTTTAGTGAACCACTTTGTCTACAGAGCTGAGTTTTATTAGTTAAAGTCTTGTTCTATAACAGAAAATACTGTGATTACACATGTATTGTGGTGTTTAAGGGTCAACTGAAATACGATTGCAATGCAGAGACAGAAAAACTGACATGGAAAAACTATTTTCACATACAAAAAATAGAGCTACCCTTCTGTGCTAGAATCTAAAAGTGCATATACAAGATACCTCTCAGCGTACTTACCCCAAAATGCCTTCACAGTCTGCTGCTTTCACTTGGATGCTGTGTGTGTACTCTTTAGTGTTGGGGTGCAAATTTAGTTTCCTGACATTTATGATTTTTGACCATCTAGTTTCTATCTTATGAAATTTTTGTCCTGTGTGAATGAAGCAACATTGTCTATGCCCTGCCTGAAAGGGCCACTGGTTAGAGCTGACTTCAATTGAAGGCTGGGGAATCCTCTCATCATTGCTACTTAATCTTGCAGACCTATGTTCTCTGGCTATACTGCACCAGGTAACAGTATGTGTTTTACCTACTGCATGGATTGGTTTTGAATCCTGAGAGGAAATAGAATGCCCAGCTTGTGTACTGTGCTTTACATCTGTCAGTTTTGAATGACTATATGAATGAGGTCAGTTTTATAATTTTCATTTCTAGATGGGAAATTGAGGCAAAGGAGAAGGAAAGTGACTCGCCCAATGTAATAATGGTGGACTGTGTCAGGCATTATCTTTTCTGAAGCCTACAGTGAAATAAATTGGCTGATGGCTTTCAGATTTCCCTCTGGTTCCTATTCAGAGGTAATATTTAGATCTGGAGCTTGTTGCAGGGAACAAGGCAGAAGATCATCTGAATCCATTTTGCTAAGTGGTCTAGTTAAATCATGATAAAGCTGTCTGTGAATGTTCTTATTCAGAAAGAGAGTAGCCTGAAGTACTTTGCTGGTTCCTTTCATGTGTAGAGTCGCATTCTCACATCTCTCAACATTGTTCATTCAGTTGACTAAAAGAGGCTGTTGATGGATCCAGATCGCTTCCTTTCCTCTCCACTCCCCACCCCTATCTATACCTTGGCTCTCTCTGTTGTGTGAGAGCTTGACAGACAGAGATCCTCTTTCATCTTGAGCATGTTATGTTGCTCAAATCGTCCATGAATGTTTACAAGTAGCATTTATTTAAGGGATATGGAAGGGTGTATTTATATAAGAATGTGAATTTAAACAAGTGTTTAATGTGAGAGGGAAATAGATCAGCTCCTGGGCTGGGTACTTCGATGACTTCTGCAAAGGTGGCCTTGGTCTTTAACTTTTCTGTATGTGAAGTAATGGAAAATTATTAGCGACAGAAGTTACTCCACATAGTGTTATACCAGGAGGTGAATGTTTGTAGTATCAGGGCTTCAGTTTGTAAAACATTAAATAAATGTACTGTGTTATATAAACATTTTTCGGTAGTTGCTATTCCCAGTTGACTCATGCTGTTCTTCAAGTGTCCTGTAAACAGCTCTGAATGGACTGACGGTCAGTAAATGATGAGGTTGAGGCATCTTGCTGTAGAGGTTAAGATGCTTCTCCAGCCAGCTGCCTGTCCTGACAGCTTTCCCCAGAGACACTGCCACTAGGGCTGAGCAGCAGAGGGAATTAAGCACCTTGCTCAGTGACTCCTGTTCACGCAAAAACTGGGGCATATTTCTCCTTCCTCAGTTCTTTACTAGGACAGTAAATGCTGACAAAGTGAAGGTGTCAAAACACAGAATTGTGGCAGTGTTCTAAGTGCCACAGCCTTTTCCCCAGTGAATGACATGCAGCTCTGCAACCTGGTGTTTCCCTTTACAGAACGGAAAAGTATCTTACATGTGTACATGTACAAGCAGAGCTCTACTGTAAGGAGTTCTAGAGGAGAAATTCTGGAGAACAGAGGACCAGCTGAAAAAAATTTTTAAGGAACTTTCTTTTCCTGATATTCGGCAGTGCACGAAAAAGAAGCTGTGTGGAAAGACCGGTTTCTAGTATGAGGTTTTGGTCATAAATTCTAAACAGAATTTTTAAGCATAATTAAGTAACTAATACCTAGCATACACTCAGGCTTCACAACTGATGACTGAAATTAATTATAATGCGTAATTGTTTTATCTCAGGCATCTGCACAACAGAGATTTTGTCCACCTTGTTTCGCGTGCTCAAAGAAAAATAAATTACAGCCTGTCATAACTTCAGATAATTTCATCTGTAACTCAGAGATGCGTTCACAAAAAGTTTTGCCTCGTGATGAAGTGTGATCCATATAGTGACTTTTGCAGATTCAGGTGGAATAGTTCTTTAGTTGTCTCTCTCTTATTTTATTATGCAAATGTACTTACACTTTTAAAGTGGGCAACATTTTTGTTTCAGCTCTTGTTGGTAGAATAAATCAAACACAAACAGGTAACCTTAAAAACACTTTTATGTTTGGAAAAAGAATAGAGTACCATTTATGTGGGCACCGCATCATGGAACAGCTACTTAATTTCAGGAAACAGTCTAATGAATATGAACACTTTGGAAATTAGTTGTCCATTTCATTAATTCTTTATTTGCAGATGAAAAGAGCTAGTCAAGCAAAGATACTGTTTGGTTTCTGGAAATTGCTCCACCAAACTATCTCCAGATGTTGGGGGAGGTGGGGAAGGAAGAAACTTCATCCACATTTTAATACGTGAAACTTGTGTAGCATGCTCACAATTCGTATTTGGATCCATTTTTGCATTTGTGCTAGGTTTTCCCGTTCCCCAGTTGGTGTCCAACAACCAAAAAAAAAAGTTTGTATCGAAGAATCTATAGCGGTATTTTCTGCTGAAGTGCAAAGTGTCCAGCTGAAGAAAAGAAACTGATTGTTGCATTTTCAGTTTAAATAATATAAAGTTTGCATTGTTCTCTTTTCAGAAATACTTGGGAAACCATTTGCATGTTATAGATTACTATGTTTTAGGATAAATGATAAATGTTTAACAGGAAAGGACAGACACTGAAATTCTGAAAACTAATTAATTTCATTAAAATTCTTTGTAGTAAATTTGTTTCTGGAGTGCTAGCTTGCTTTAGGATGCTCTTTTCCCAACTTTTCTATACAAATGAGTGCATTCCTACAAAAAATAGATTTCTTTCTGAATCTGCATACAATATCAGACAAGTCTGTGTTTTCTTTTCAGTACTTTCTCTCTTTTGTCTTTCCCTTTTTAAAGTTTAAAGTTTCTGGATGTTATATTTAGATTTTTGCTATTAATTGTTTGCTCTTTTAGCTGAGCTATATCTCACTGTTTATAGTCTTTACTCTTCCCAAAAGAAGGAATTAAGCCCCTTTCCATTTTTGCTATGAAATAATAGGGAAACTCATTTCTGAGTGATAGCTGGCCAAAAACAACATTGGATTTTATGTTCAGGGTTGAATTGTACATGTCTGTTAAAAAAAGCAACTTTGCCACAGTTCTCTTTACAGTGATTTTCCAGATTATTCAAAATACTTGAGCAGTAGAAGAATCTGTCTAGTCCCACAGGAAAAACTGTCCAATAAGCCTCTCCCTTCATCTAAGGGTCATAGAGGAAACCCTGGCTAGACGTTTGGTGACTAATTTAAAATATCTGGCAAGACAATTGATAGCACCCTTCCTTTGTGTTGTGACAAACATATTTCAACTGCAGTTTATTAACATAATCCAGCACAACCACAGACATACTGTATGTATTATAGCATAGAATTAGAAACATTTTTTGCACATCACAGTCTTTACTCTCTCTCTTTTTTGACAAGGATCTGGATAATTGCCTCAACAAATGAACTGCTGTGTTCTGTCTGTGTTTCTATAATTTCATAAATTGTTTTCCATGCTAAAACTAAGCAAGCTTTTACTGAGTAAGTGTAAAGAACCACAGTGTAATTACATGAGCAGTATTATTAAAAAGTGTGACAGAAATAGCAGTTTAACTGACAGCTACTTTTTCTTTGCTTTATGACAACAAATTAAGTATCTCATGAGGTGCCAGTTAGTGAGCAAATGTCTTCTGCCTTTGTCTCTCCCACATTCATGCACACATGCATGCATGCACACTCATACCTTAGAGCTGAAACTTATCATAGAAGATTATCACATAAGTTGTATCATGAATTACCAGCTGAGGTTCCTGCTTCTCCAGGAAATTTTGTTTCAAGTTGAAAATAAGGGGGGTTGTCTCACACAGATAAGTTGAATTTTTAGCTTCCTCTGTCTAAGTGTATTTCTAATTCCCTTTATTGATAAATAAAGAGAATATTCCCACTGCATGGATGGATTATATGGATGGAAAACGTGAGACACAAGAAGTGATTAATTTTCCCAAAACTCAGAGCCCGGTGAAGGACTAGGCTGAGAGCGAAACCTAAATTTGCCATCTAAATCATTGAACCACAGTGCCTGCAATCAATATGGCCTTGATCCAGAGCCCACTGAAATCAATGACAAGAAAGGTTTTGACCAGCTCCTGTATGCAGTGTAAAGTCTCTGCTTTAGTTTTTTATTTTCCTCTTAATAACTTAGTTAATTATTAAAGTGCAGTATTTCCATACAGTACTTTTGTAGAGAGTGACACTGATATAATTTGTGATGTAATTTGAATGAGGACTAGGGGCTAACTTCCTCATTTCTAAGGCTCCCATCCTTTTCACTTGTTTTCATTTGGGCACCTTTTTATATAAAAAAATGTTCACACATTCCAAATCCATTCATTGTCTATAAAAATGTGTAGACTTTGAGTATCTGGACTGCTTTTCTTTATGTTTGTCAGGATTCTGTGTTCAAACCTTTTTTTTTACTAATCCTAAAATCAGCAGAACTGCAAAGGGATATTCTGCAAATATTTCACAAATACCAGGTGTAATACTAAATAGGTGATCATTACTTTCAAGGCTCAGTTGCTGTCTAGTCAGCCAGGTGTAAACGTTAAACTCTTGGCTAATATGAACAACAGTAAGTGAAAGGCTAGCTTATACCATATAATGTTGCATTTGTAAAGTGTGTGCAGGCTGTAGTTGTGTGGGTTGTGAAGTTATCTTTACTAAAGAAGACGGCAAAAATATGAAGGGTTGTGGGAAAATACTTAGCTGCAAACACAGTGTAAAAATTCTTTTTACTGATCTTATCAAATATTTGGACATAGTTTAAATTGTGAAGACTACAGCATATGTCATGATTTCATTATTTTTAACATCCTTTTTTTTACTCTCTGTGGTGTGACGTGTCCAGAGGTTTTTATTAGATTAATAAAACTGCTGCAAAAAAGAGTGGAATTGTCATGAAACATAAAAGCCATTCTATTTATGGTTTGTAGTTGTTAAAATCATCTGAGAAAAAGTGAGAACAAGTAACTGCACTACTGAATGAACTGAACCATGGTGATTGTATTTAGTTAATCACTTCACAAAAACTGTCTGTATGAAAATTTGCCTTGATTCATGTCCTCATTGGCTGCAGTCTTTAGAGATCTATTTGGCTAACAGCTCAGGATCTACCTACACATCTGTGAAGACCTAAACTGTATGTGTCATTGATTGGCTCAGTAGCTTTGCTGAGTTCTGTCTGCAATACCAAGGAAAGAGCTTAACATGGTGTTGCTACCAAGGAGCCTCCTAGTGAAATATTTCTTAAACAAACCTTTTGCAAAATAACATTTAAAACTTATATAAATGCCTCCTATAAAAGTCTGTAAATCTCTTTGTTTTCTGGTATGCCATTTTGAATCCAATTTTAGCATGTCTGATCCCTCAGTTATATTTACCTTTTTTGCACAGTACTCAGAAATACATCTGAATACTCTGAGATCTTACTGATGTCTGACAAAGAACCTGTACAATGTCATGTACTCAGGTAATTTATTTTACCCTTCTTCTTAGACAAAGTTGGGGGGATTCTGAGAGTATTCCGAGTTCTTAGATGTCCGGTAATTTTTAGTTCTAGGCATGAACAGAGACTTTTTTCTCAGAGTTCTCATAAAGTTGAAAATATGGATTTGAAATATGTGCAAGATGCAGATAGTTGAGTAAACATCAACATTAGCAAGACCAGATCTTCTACAGCTTTATTCTTAGCATTGAAAATTATGACAGATCTGTAATCTTCCACCAAGCTTCCTCTCTAGCCCACCTTCTGCAGCATTCTTATAATCCAGAGCTACTTTTGCCCTGTTTAATAAGAGGTGTGATGTGACTCGGCAGGAGCTGCTGATTGACCAGCTGGCTGCTACCTCCTCACTGTTAAGTAAGTGTAATGGAATGCCCTGGCTGTAGGTGCCTGGCAGGCCAAAACAAAGGGTTGTGGGGACTGCATGCAGCTTCTGGATCATTCTTTGAGCAACCGTTTTATAAGGATTAAGTATTTTTGCACGATCTACCTTTCTACCAAAGATGGTGGAAGTAGATTCATGGATTCAGAATTTTGGGAGGGTAAAAGATAGACAAATGGACTGTGAGATTGCATAACTATTGTTTCCTTTGGAGACATAATCAGATAGGTTGGCAACATTTATTCTTTTTTAAATCATATTCTTTAGTCTGATGAGTTACTTGATTTAGTAGGACAAATACTTTCCACTTTTCATTGTACCCTGGACACAAGTGAGAGGGAAAGCACGGCCTCGTCTGACTTTTTTTCCATCTGTACATTAGAGCTAAGGGGTCTTCTGAATTAATCTAGTGTGTTGTAGAACATATTTGCCCCATCTGCTTCCCATGCTGACAGATTTCATGTACATGGTGTTTTGAGGAGGGCTGCTAATGCCAGTTCTTTGCTTGTTGGGAAATTACTGTTCTGTGAGAAGTGATTTCCTCAGAGTTGCTCTAATGTTGCACTACTTTTTGGATCCATACCTCATATTCCTGCAAAAATCAGAAGAAGTTTAGTAGTTAAAGATGTATTGTTCGATGAAGTTAAGATGAGGAAAGCAAGAAATACACTTCCGGTGTCTTATATAATTTTTTCTTAAATTATAGGTAATTTTTTGCCCTTGCAGGTTTCGTGTCTTTTTGAAAGTTGTCCATCAGTTATAAGGTGAACCTCAAGGACACTGCAGGTTCTTGAACAAATTGGTCTGAAATAGGGTCTCTTGATGTTTTAAATATAACTGCTAACCATCCAAGTAACACATGTATATTGAGGACACTGTAAAAGCCATTTGAAAGAGATGTGTGTGTTGGGTGTGTTTGCTCTAAAATAATTAAAAGTGTATTTCATACTTCCTCTTTTGGTGATGAATGTCAGTTTACATTTCAATAGGATGGACGTACATGATGTGAAATGTCATATTTTCACATGTGAGCTTTGAAGTGCTGTATCAAACCAACCAGTTTGCTCTTATACCCACTACTCAAAAATGTAGTACTTAGCCTCTGACATATCAAATTTTAAATTCTTCTAAATTTGAAAGGCCAGTAGTTCTTTTTCCTCTAACATATTTTTGATTTTTTTCTTCTTTGAATCATTGTCCCTAATACTTTTGGTTTATTTCTCTGTCTCCTCCTCCCTTCTGCCTTTTTCACCTCCCTTCCCCATCTTCTTTCTCTACATCTGACCCAATGTTTTTCTTCATCCTTTCCTGCCTTCACTACTACCTGTCAGGTGTTCTGCTTCTCTCCGCATATTTTTACTCCTTTGAAGTTTTACAATGGACTGGGATAGCTTTGCAACTTCTCCTTGTACTGACTGAACCCTTGAAAAGTCATCACTTTCTCATAAGCAGTGATTTCCCAAAGCATGTCAAGTATTTAAGATTCAGCAAAAAAGGAAGACCTGGCATAAACCCAAAGTCTCATTTGACTTCAAAACCTATGCCTGATCATAACCCCCAAAAGTATCAGGAAAATCACAGAAGTGGCAATTTTATTTTGGGAGAAATATGTAGAAGGTCTGTTCTTCTCATCTGCTGGGATTCCCTTCAACAGTATTGAATTTGGATGCTGACACTAATGGCAAATTTACAGAGCTACTGGAGTTATATGTTTCTTTTAGTAGCATTTAATAGTATTACTATCTAATAACTATTAGATACTGTCCTACTCAGTAATTAGGTGAGTGAGTTGCCTTCTGAGTTACCAGTTTTGCCAGTCTCCTAGGAAGCATCTGCTTTTCATCTTTGTAGTCCATATTGAATGGGACCATTGGTTCAGAAAAGGGAAGAAATTTTTTGATTAAGTGAAGAATATTGCCATATATGCTTACAAATGAAAGGTATATTTTAAACTGCTAATATCAACAGGCTTGAATGGTAATTTTGAAAAATAATACATCTGCATAAATGTATGAATGCCTGCCAGTAATGGCCTCCAAGGCACTGGTTATACAGATGAGACCTCCCTTCTGCTATTTAGTCAAAAATGGTTACAAACTTGCTTGTTTACCTGACCTCTGTCACGCATACCCTCCGATGCTGCAATATTTCTGTAGTTCCTGAGCCCTGGTCCTCAATCACCCTTTTTTCCCAAGTCTAGCAGTTGTTACTACTGCCTGCCACCACACTTGAATTATTTTTTTTCCTTATTTTTTTACCCAGCCCAAATCCCAACACAGTCGTTGCTCCTAGACAGAAAGAAGCAGCTTTCAGGCAAGGCCTCTGATGCCCTTCCCTGTCTCATGAGCAACTGCTCCCCTCCAAAGCCTGCCTCCTCGGAATTGTCCGCCTTATCAGCTCCCTCATCTTGTTCTTCTCCCCGCTCAAACATGTCCCCACCTCGCACCCTGCTTCATGTCACCAGCCCTAGGCCCACCTGGCCATGACTTGTCTGGACACAGAGGCATTTGAGGAGGAGGAGACACCCTTCGCACAGCCAGAGAGGGTGCCTTTGCCTACACTGTAGCCCATAGGTCCCCTCCCCTCATGTTCTCCTGCCTGCTGGCACAAGGTAAAGCTCATCCTTCTTCAAGACATCAGAAAAGAGCAGAATTTGTTTGGGAAATGGGAAAAGAATGGAAGAAGAGCACAGATGGCAACAGAATAGATGTAGCTTTTTGAAGCTCTCTCCATCATGTACATGGCTGCTTCCCCGCCTTCTCCTAATTTGAGAATTTCTACTTTATAGAGTTAATTCTCAGGCTCTCTCCCTAAGTTGTTATTTGTGGTTGAAAGATAGGGGAGCTGAGGAGAAGATATATTAAATCACTCAGGAAGTCAGTGGAACGGGACTAGAAACAACATCATATAGTCAAGTGAGGGCCTGCTCCTTGTGTTCAGATTTGGCTTCAGAAATGCCTTTGTTTTTCTAGCTGCTGCAATCAGTAAGTGAAATTTTAAACAAGAATAAACAGAGACTCCCAGTTTCTGTTTTGAGGACAAAACCTTGTCTTCCCTGCTAGACTGAATTTTTTGTGCCATATGTCACTGGGGCATCTCATGGTATGAGACAACATCTCAGTCTCAGGCTGCTGAGAGATACCTGGCCTCCTTTATATAAATGTACTCAAGCGCTAGAAGCAATGTAGCCAAATGTGTGTGGAGC